TATCTATTACTGTAAGCTAACAGTGTTTATCTATTACTGTAAGCTAACAGTGTTTATCTATTGCTTTTAGCTAATAGTGTTTATCTATTCATCTATTACTTTAAACTAAGTGTTTATCCCTTACTTTTTTATCCATGACCTTTAGGTAATTATAGGGACTTCTCTGCTCGCTTGCTAACTAGTGTTCATGCAACAGCATGGCCTTAAGGTGTTCCAGCTGAGTCACATTTGTGAGAGGTGTGTAACGTGCAGTTAGCCTATCATAGCTGTGTTTCTTACCATGACGATACAATTACTGTACCTAATTCTTCCTAAATATGTACTCTTATTAGGATATACAGTTTCTTTTTTTTATTATATCATAATTTGTATTTTCTAACAATTAATACAATTTCAAGTACAGGTACACCTGGTTGGGACTTTGGGCAGGAGCATAGAAAGCCACAGATAATGATGATGGCAATGCTTAGGTTAATGAGATTAAAACAGCTGCAAGGCAATCCTCTATAGTTCCCTCTGACCCAACTGTTGCTCTATTTAAATGGATTTAGGTAGACTGTTTTGTACTTTAATGATAATCACTAAATAGTTGAATGACCAGACAAGCCCAGTGAGGAAAGAAAGGAAAATACTTAAAGACATTCATTCTTATTCATATGAAGTTAACTGACTGCTGCTTGTCAGTCTTATGCAACTCCCTTTGTCAGAGTTATTGTTGCTTTGCAGCAGTTAACAGCTTGAATATCACCTGCAACAGGTGAGTATGAGCTAAATAGGTCTCAGAACACAAGTTTGACTGATTAAGAGAAATTATCTTGGCTTCATAATCTCTGGCATTTCACAATAAGTGAGTTATTATCATTATCATTATCATGTAAAACCTAAGCTTGTTTCCTCATGGCTGACAGTGACTCAGGTTAAAAATGCAATTTCTTAACATGAGCAAATGTGGGAAAAAATCCAAAAGGAGAGCCACAACGGTATAAATAGGAAGACCTGACAGCTATGTGACTACAGAGTGAACAAAGCCAGAGACTTGAAAGAATGCAAACGTGGATGTCTCTGCAGATAAACGATGCAATAACTCATCTGTGTAAAGCTATTGTTGCCGTCTAAAAGGAAACATGAGCCAGCAAACACCCGAGAAAATACATAAACTAGCATAAATCAATATACATACGCACGAATACTCAATACACACACTTCTGCACACTTGGACGGGAGAAGGACAAATCGACCTTACAAACACACATATGATTAATTACTCAGTTCACTTAAGCCACATTCATTTGGACATTTGCAATTAGAAATAAAGAAACTCAAAGGCCTCAAAGTTGTACATCAATGCCACGATTCTCCCACACATGAACTCCTGTGTTACCAGCTGGACGCAGACAAGTAGGACCACATTCAAATCAAATCAGTTGAAACACTTAATAAGCACGGCTTAAACTTCTCAAACATGATCAAATTTGTAGATATTTTACTTGTGTATAAGATGTTTACTCTGTAACTTCGTTTGCTGCTGCTACAAACAAATTTCCCCCTGGGGATGAATAAAGTATACATCTATCTATCTATCTATCTATCTATAACATTTGTCATGGTGTGGCCCCTACCCCGCTCAATGAATTTAAAAATACCACATCGACAAAGTACCTTTGGACAGTCAGCCTTTTCCTGTTGGCCATCACATTCCTGGAACACTGAACCCACAGAACTAAGGATTTAAAGACCGGTGGTTATTGGACAATCAAATGCAATTGTTCTACTCATTGTCAGTGTGCTTTTATCTTGTATGTTTTCTTTTAATGCCATCAACCTGCCAGCGCCTGAAGATGAAAATTAGCCTGTAAGGCTATAAATCTGTCACATTTACATCATGGCAGCTGCTCCTGTTAAAAGTATTTAATTTACTTTATACCTCTGCTTCACAACATTTAAGAGGCAAAATATTTGACTTTTTACTCCAATACATTTGTTTTCAGGTTAAGATTTTACATTAAAAATACACATCAAATATAAATTAAGCGAGTGGTTCCCTCTGCTTTTTCTTCTTTCCTCCCCCACTGATCATTGTGCGACCCCCTCAGATGTATCTTCAGAGGAGGCCCGACCCACTGGACTACACTACGTAAAGCTATTGCAAACCTAGCCGAGCAGCTGCAACAGTAAAGTACTACTTACACATTGATGCATCAACAATTTCATAATAATAGTTGCATAGTCTGCAGAATTTGCTTTACCAAGAATTGTTGTATTGGCACTTTTACTTAAGTAAAGGATCCGAGTACTTCCACCACAGCTTAAAATCATTCATTCAAGCTGGGCCGGGTACAGCCAGTGATTGTACAAGACTTCTCACAGTTTCAGTCAGGTAATGAAATGACAAAAGAAAAGAAAGAAAAAATGAAATAGCAAAGCAAATAATTGCACAGTTAACCAGTCCTTGGCCTCTGAAGATATACACACACAGAAAGCAGCAAGAACAGAGCCAGAAAGATCAAAAGCATGCACATATATAAAGGAGTTTGTTTACTCCTCCGTCTCGAGGCAGTCAGGGTTGAAGAGGTTTTGCGAGGACATTTCTGCTTACCTCAACAGGGGCTGTTTAGGGGGCGGAGGCGGGTCACCATCTTGGCTCTGCGGAGGCTTCTTGGTCACCTGCTTGTAAATGTTCCTGGCCGTCACCCCGAGCCACAGCATGGTCGACAGGGACGAGTAGTGCAGCACCACCCCGACCTGACGTAGGGTGAAAGAGGACGCGTCAAGTTATTTATTTGACGTCTCTGAACTTTTTCCATATACTGTACACTGTGTCTCTCTGGAAAATGTCAGACTTGATTATATTCCTGTGACTCAAAGCGAAGATGTTCAGGGGGGAGCTGCCACTCCTCTCTCAAAAAAATACCCATCATCAATGTCACTCCAAGGGTGTCTCTGTAGAGACCTGCCTGCTTTGTCTTATCCTTCGCTAAAAGACAATGATACAAGAAATGTTCAAAAAGTGCTTCTGAATCATCAAGGTTGTTTTGGGATAAGAGCATTACGGCGAGGTTATACTGTTGGATACCGAGCAGCTCCTTATCAGTTGAGTTAGAGGACACGGGGGTGTGCACTGCGAATAACAAATCTGAATATAAATGATAGTCACGTTGACAACTACCAGGGCGTGATTGTGTTCCGAAATGCGCAGCGTACGTACCTCTTCTCTTCCTCGCTTTAATATTCATGAATTATGTTTGGATGGGGGAACTGATCTAACTTTGTTTAAAGGCTTTGCCAGCTCATAGAAAGAGCAGAGAGTTATGAGAGAGCAAGAGAAAGAGAGAGCAAGAGAGAGAGAGAGAGAGAGAGAGAGAGAGAGAGAGAGAGAATTAGAATACGCTGAGCCTTTTCTCCACCCAGTCAGTCTGTTCATGAGGTGACAACCTGAGACACCCAATCAAATGGCTTCTCGCCAGCCTGGTAGGCCTAGGGACTGAAGCTAGTGTACCAGAGTCCAGATGCTAATTGGAAATGTCCTTGAGCTGGTTATAGAGAGCAAAGAGCGGGTGGGAAGTCAATCACTGCTGCGGAGTCAGAGCTTCATTAGTGCCAAGAGCAGACGGGGAGGACGTGTGTTTGCAAAATGGAAATAAGGGGGAGAGGAGGAGTTCTCAAATTATCAGAGATGGTGAAGGTGTGTGTGTGTGTATGTGTGTGTGGGGGGGGGGGCACATTGAACACAACTGGCTGATTAAGTTCCTGATAAAGAAACAAGAACTTACCCTTAATGCAGGAAGTCAAATTGCATTATTAAAGCATGCTGTCAATCTAGCACTTCTCTTTAATAGCTAATACAGACCGCACAATTGTACATTAGTTGTCAAGCATGTTCAGTACTACTATGCAATACTATACTGTAATGCAGTATAGATGCACCTTGGAGGCGTGTATAAGTATGATTTCAGGGACCCCTGTATGAGTTCTATTAATTATTCTAGACAGTCAGGTTTTTGGACATCCTCAGTCAAGATGTAACCTGACGCGCCAGATGGTTTGTTACAGAGAACCATCTGAGAAGCCCTCATTGGAAACTGTTGGGAAAAGCGCAGGCACTTTCAAAAAGAATACTTGGCAGTTGATTGGATGTACCATCTGTCAATCAAACTCATGTCGAAGCCAGTCGGGAGCAATCTCTGAACCCATCGGCTGGTGGTCTGGCGACGGATAAGCCTCTGGGGGCGACGGGCTGTATTTCTGGGGTTCCTGTGTAGAAAGCAATTATCTGGGCCAAGACTTCCTTTTTCGTGCACTACAGTCCGATTAGCAACTTGAGATACGAGACCGGAGGTGGAGAGACGTCGCAAGTAGTCAGTTCACGAGCTTTCGCCACCGTCAGACGATAGCGGATGGGTTCCCAGATTGCATTTCGGCCAGTGTGTCCTGCCTCTTTTGCTCCCCACACGGGCTGTTTACCTGAGTTCAACTAAATCACGCTCAACCGCGATTGAAAAATCGTAGAGATTTTCCATATAAATGCAGAATCTGTTTCTAGATATTACGTCTGGAGAAGAGCAAAAACATCTTTTCCATCGCGTAAAGCCTTCAGTGGCGTCCTTTGCTCTTCTATCAATGAAGAAAACCAGTTATGATGTAACCAATGCTATTGCCGCTACGCTAACCTCTTTAGGAGCCGCCAATGTTGTTTTGAACGAACAGTCGGCTCTCTGTGTCGTCGCGTCACACATCTAAACCACGCCTGTAGCTGCCAGTAGCTTCCTACAGGACGCTGATTGGTCCGCACATAAAGCGCATTACTTGAAGCCTGACAAGATGGGTTTTCATGACATCTTGTGATTCACACACTGTGACAGCAGCTGGTCAAATCTTGAGTATGTGGGAGAAACTGTCCGTTTAGCAGCAAGACTTCTCAACTCACCAGCTGACACTTTTGGTTTCGACCAGCAAGTTGAATAAAAATCATAGTTTGTTTAAAAAGAGACCCCCCCTCCCCCCTATTGCAACAACACTGCATAAGACTCTCCAAAATCCAAAGATGAGCACACTCACTGATCTCAGACTAGTAAGCAACCAAATAATGATGCCAAACCCAAAACCAGATCATCCACCAGGACTGCAACTGGGAAATCGAACAGGAACAGCAGCTTGCCATCTCAGACGACGTCAGCCACGGATGTCACCAGAGAAACTACCACATCGGTCATTTGTTTATGAGCTGGAAACCACCTATGTTTACATTTTCTTGACACAAATCCTCTTGTAGGCGTGTGTGAATAATGACTGTTCTCTCTTTGAAGCAAAATCTCTTGGATTGGAGATGAGCCAAGCATCTTTGACACTGTTCACATCCTGTCTCTCACCTACACCTACAATGTTGGTTTCTCCAAAACCATAGTAAAGAACAAATCATTTACCTTTTTTTTTGGTTACGGTGAGCATGTGAACATAAGACCTATAATGAATCAGCGCATGGATATGTTGATGAGGACAGTCTGATAAACACAGTCCCGTTTGAACTATTGGTCTTGATAGTTGCTGTGTGCTTTTCTCCGGATGTCCCTTTGTGGGTAAATACATGATTTGAGCCAGTGATCGGATCAGTGAGCAGCACAATCACCATGCAGTTAACACTAACGGGGAGCTGGAAAATGAGAGCTGGGAAAAGTCAGAGCTTCTGTCACCTCAGACTCCCTCTTTGTAATCACTCAGGAGGGCTGACGATGACGCCTTAAATGAATCAAACTGCACACCCACACAGAAGCATTAAGGGGGAATTCATAGTGAATTATAATGCATATTCATAATGCTTCATGGCTACACGCATTAACACACATAATGCTGTCTGCTGTCAACAGTCATGGCACATTATGACATTGCAATGAATTATGAGTTGAAGTATCTTATGGATGGTATTGGCTATTCTTGCATAATCGTCATGGTGATACTTTCCATGATGAATTAAAAACATACTTATAATGCATTTTAATCTGCGTACAGCACTGTGTTTTTATATAAGCACAACACATGTCACAACGCATGTTATAATGACTTTCAAGTACCGTAACACTTCATAATTGTTGGCCTTTTTTTTTTGCAAGAATCACAATGTATTATAATTCCGATCGTTATAAAACATAAACTTTTAATAATGCGTAATAATAATCACTGTCATGATGCATTATAATGGTATTATAAGTTATTCTAAATCTAATTCTAAGTACATGCAAGAACAAACAAAATATTTGTATTTAAAGCACACAATGACCACTGACACTAACTATAATGCATTATACAAATACATTTATGTAATATAACTGTGATGTATAAAGCACTATAATCTCACTGAGTGACCAGCAATCATGAAAAATGATGATGATTGACCATATAAGTCATTATAAAATGATGTATGATGAGTTGTGATTATTGTTATGCAGCATTATGAATATCTATGAGTGTTTAGAAATAGAATTAAACAGTGCTGTGGGCAGATTGTAATGCACTACAAGTATGTTTATAGTGCATTATCGACCTCATAGAAAGCGTTACCATAATCACTTATGATGCAGCATGGATTATTTTAAATGCATGAAAATGCATTACACTCTACTTGCCGGCAACAATGAAACAATATGATAAAGCATGCGCTATTATAGATATGTCGATATGCACGTCACTGTACTTAACACATACAATCAGACTGCAGGGGCCATAAAAGCAGACTATGAGTCCTTACTATAGTGGATTGTTGAGGTGTGTATTAATACGCGAGTACAGGAAGTCACTGTATTTTAAGCCTCATCAGTCAACCTCTAGTTATGGATAACTAGTCAAGAGCATCCATAACACTTCACATGCTTATGAGTGTAGTCATGAAGCATTACACTGTAATTGCATTATAATTATGTGGTTTGATTTAGACTCATTAAATTGTGACAGCCGAAAAGAAAAGTCTGTATTTTGCATACAGACGTATGAGGTCACTAGAACGAGCTAAAGCTAGCACACTCCAACGTGTCTCTGTCTCCGTTTACGGCCTTGACTCCCTCACCTCGACTGTATCGCATCATACAGTCAACTTATTAGCCGTAGTTAGCTTCGAAGTGCTTTTAGGCTACGTGCTCCTTCATGGTCATTTGAGTAAAAGAGCAACAGATGTGACAAGATGAAGACGAGACATGAGGTGTCATGTTTGATACAAGTCAAGTCACAGAGAATGTGATTTAATGCGAAAGGTGAAAGTAATGAGGAGTCAGCACAGCAGGCTCGCTGTGCACCTTTCTGTTACAGGTACGCTGCAAACACACCAAAGTATGGACTGTAGGCTCACTGTGCGCTAGTCTTTATAAATCAATGTAAAGATTTACAGTCTCAGATTAAGAAATAATCCAGCCAGTTTATTAGGTACACCTAAAACCAAATGCAATCTATTACAGCCGTCTTGCAATAAATCCTACATACGATCTAACGGTATCAGAATGTAGTAGTGGATACCAGTCCCAGTGACGTCCTCACTGGGACTCGATACCACGGTACAAAACACAAACAGAACAATAAATCCCATGTACTTCAACATGTACGCCTTCACTACCGTTTGCATGCTGGTTTTGAATTAATAATTAATCTCTGATGATCCTCCTCAAGTTCCTCCCCAAAAACAAACATTATTCAAGATTGCATTTGACCACATCCTGACACCGTTATAATTTAACTTCGCCCAATGCTCATTTTTGCTTGAA